GAACCGGAACCGGAACCGCTTAAGGCGGTTCCATAACTTTTGGAACCGGAACCGGAACCGCCTTTAAGCGGTTCCAATTCCAAAACCGGCAGTTCCGGTTTCAAAAACAGTTAACCTGTTCCGATGCTCATCCCTAAATATAGCCTTATATACATGGGAATTACGGAGCCTAAACATATGGATGAATTATATATATATTTTTATCCCTACTTTCACAATCACATCTCTATATTAACGATCATAAACAAAAAGTCACTAATAATCTAGATCCTGATTATAAATGAAGCAAATAACAAAAATAGCTCCTGAACTTTACCAAATATTGCAAGATTGGTCCCTGTTTTTGAAGTTTTCCCAAACATGTCCTTAAGTTGCATTTTTGTTTCATAGATTGTACCCCTTCTTAAATTGCATTTTTGGTAATCTTCCTTTTCTCTCTGTATATTAATTCTTGTAACTTTAAAACTCTAGTTTTAGAGTTTATCTACATTTAATATCTTCTTTTTCTAATTCCTTAATATACGCCTATAATCTTCACTACAAGTTTCGAAAAATTCTTTTGGAAAAATTGACTGATCTAGAAATTGACAGTGTTCAACAATGGTGTCGAAAGATCCAAAATATTGGAATTCAACAAAGCAAATTGAACAACTTCATACACACGATAAAAAAACACGGAATAAAACTACTAGAAAACTGCAAAAAGAAAATTATAAAATCGGAACACAGTACTTAACTTGATTCACTACGATTTGTCTGATCGGCTAATCAACGAACGAACGAGAGAGATGATTTTATTATTACTAAAAAATTACAATCATATAAGGCTAAATTGTACTTATAAATCATTCACATTAAGGTTGCACTAACATGAGCTACCAACAAATAATAATCTCTCTTTATAGAGTCTATTCCAAAGTTGAATGTGGTTTCAACTTCATAATAAATGCTCTTGAAATTTTCTCACAAGAGATGTGCTCTTAATTTCCTATGGACTTCTACATTTTGCTGCACTTCTCCAATCTTGCAGCACACATATATATACTTAATGAGCCGTCAACTTTTAATTAACATTGGCACATTTGTGAAAACGATAAAGCCGCCATTTTATTTTAACATATATGTGGAAATAATAAAGCCACCGGTTGATGTTGAATTGCAGAATTTACGCCCGCCGTCCATGACATTTACCAACTTTCTTCTTCATACATGAAAAAAAATATTAAATCTAAGGCCAAAGGTTATGATACCAACCCACTAGAAAAGTGTTTCCACGCGCTACGTCATCTCCACTACATGTCCACTACTAAACCACTAGCCATTGGAAATGGTTACCATTCCACATTATTTATCTTGTTATTATTTTTTTTTATTTTTTTGAAATTAGATTAAATAAAAAAACAGAATTTTAAACTTTTTTTATTAATAAAAAAAGTACATTAAAACCATATATTATAAATCGAAAAACTACTAATGTAAGAAAATGAGACTTAGTGGCCTTTTGTGTAAAAAACCAAAATTTGGGCATGAGATTCTTTTGAGTTGGAGTACAGCCGATACCATTTTTTCCTTATTTCATTCAACCCAACAAACCCTAAAACCTTTCCCCCTTTGCTGCCTTGCCTTCACTGACGAAAAAGGACCAGAAGAACTTGCAGGAGAAGAGAAGAACCAAATGGAAATGGAGAAAGAGAGTAGGCGAGAAGGAGAAAGAGAGCAGATTAAGAAGGACGAAAGAGAGTAGGGGGTCAAAAAAGCATCACCCAATCAAATCCATCGTCTTCACCATGGAGTCACGCTACAACACACACACACACTACCCATTGGGGCGATGTTTACGCGTGGGTAGGGGTGACACGTCAGATGTCACGTGAAAACCCCTCCCATATCGGATGGCCTAACAATTTGATACACGACACGAACATGACACACGTTTTCCATGTATGGGTTTTAGAAATCCGTGTTTTGTGTCTTACGCGTGTCAAACATGAATTTACCTATTTAAACACGTATAGACACAAATTTAATCCGCTTTGACACGCGAAACGTATAAACACACAACACAAGACACCTATAAACGCGTATAAACATGCATAAACACATATAAATACGTATAGGCACAAATTAATTTTGTGCACATTCGTGTTTATCCATGTTTTCATGTAACATGGTTAAAAACGTGTTTATTCGTGTCGTATCACGTGTCACACAAATTAATTATGTGGTCTGTTTGTGTTTGATACATAAGACATGTTTTACAATTTGTGTCGTGTTCATGTTTGTGAAGTCTGTGTCGTGTAACTGTAAATTCGTGTCTGACATGTATACACGACGGATAGCTAGGTCTAAAAAAATATTGAATTGGTGATAGTTACATTTTTGGCCCCTGAACTTTAAATGTCTTCTCATTCATGCCTTCACTAAACCAACAATCTCCTACTTGGAGACTTGTATAATTTAGCATTTCTCTTCCATCCAAAACTTTTGCAATATGGGTGTACAATACTTAACCGATCCAATTCAAACCGACCGATCCAATTACAAACCAACCGATTTGAGTGGATTGGATCGGTTTCAAAATTTCTAAATCCAATTGGATTGGATTGGTTACTGGATCATCCTGAAAATCCAATGGATAACCGAACCGAACTGAACCAATAAATATCCAATTACCATAAATATTATTATCAAATTAATTTTAGACAAGATAAAAAATATAGCAAATTCTCTTAAAGATTTTGCATGTTTGAACCGTGGTCGTTGAAGTTCAAGACGTGAAGTGTTGTTTATTAGTCCTATTTAGCGTAATTGTGTTCAATTTAGTTTTGATTATCATAATTGTATTTGGTTGTATCAGATAGAAAAATGATTAGAATTGGTTGGATAATGAATCACCAATTAAATATATCCAATTTATATGTAACGTCTCGAAAATTGCAAATAGATTTTTCATTTTTAAAATATAAAAACCAATTAAAACCTTTGTTTCAGAAACCATCAAGTACATTCATTTGATTAAAACCATACAATATCAAAGTTAAGCTTACAAAACAGTGGAAAAGAACATCTTCGATGCGTGTGTATAGTCCCATCGAGTTCTTTCATGAATGACCTGAAAAATGTTAATCCACAACTGTAAGCATAAAGCTTAGTTAGTTCCCCAGTATATCATATATTCCATCATACATAAATTGCATCGACACAAGATCTCGGATCTAGAAACGAGCAATCAAATCTCCTATCCACGTACATATATCATCCGTAACGGGCCCAATCCTACGGAGTGTACGGGCCCAACCTTGACTCCATTTCCAGGGGCCGAACCCTAGTCTTACATACAATTGCTGTGATCCAACCATAATCTTTCATATTAGTGTTGTGATCCAACCACAGTCTTTCATAACAGTGTTGTGATCCAACCACAATATTTCATATCAATGTTGTGATCCAATCACAGTCTCCTATCCACGTACATATATCATCCGTAACGGGCTCAATCCTAGGGAGTGTACGGGCCCAACCTTGACTCCATTTCCAGGGGTTGAACCCTAGTCTTACATACAATTGCTGTGATCCAACCATAATCTTTCATATTAGTGCTGTGATCCAACCACAATATTTCATATCAGTGTTGTGATCCAACTACAGTCTTTCATATAAATTCATAAAGTCATATGTAGTTAAAGATCAAATAGACAGTCAAACAGATAACCCACCCAAGAGCGAACAATCAGACAAGAAAATCACAATCAGATATTAGACCAAGAGTTCTCAGGTTATCAAACTTAAACTACATAGAACCCAAGCTATCACTATCACATAACAATGTATCATAAGCACATAGCAAACTACTAGCATATCCATAGCCTTAACAACTACCCTTCCCTAGTTACCTAGCCATTGGCCACTTCTCAATTAAGTCCTTCGTTGGTCGGTCATACATAATCCTGATAACTGACCTACTATAACATCCGGTTTCGAGAAGCTTCCAATTTCGGGAATTATGGAAATTGATGGATCAAGTTAGGGTCCTGTACTTCAAGGTTTTGGGTTCTAGGCCTATTTGGTATTCGGTTATATATACGTTGTGTGAGTCAAGCTTTCTGTGTGTACTTTGGATCCTAAGGGTATAATGGTAAAAGTGATGTTTCAGGCCTTTATTGAATTAAGGATTCGGGTTCGGAAGGTTTTGAGTCAAAGGAGACTTTATGGGATTGTATGGATTTTCATTATCTTTCCGAGCAAATAAAGAACTCCAAAATCGGAGTTGGAACGCGAGAGTTATGACCATTAGAAGTTTGGAAGGTTTTGGGTTTAGGCTAGTAAGATGGGCGTACTTGTAACAGCCCAAATTTCCAATAAAAATTTTCATTTTTAAGTAACGAAATCA